TCCTTGGTCCTTGCTTCCTTCATCGCTACCATTCTTTAACCCTCCCTTTTGCCTTTGAGCCTTAGCTCTCCTCAGACACACTCCTTCCAGACCCCAGTGTCTTTCTTTTGCCGCTTGTTCTTGCTGCCTGTCTTCCCACCTGATTGCGATTCCTTCCAGCTGATCTTTTCCATGAGCTCTTTTTGTTCTGCCAAAGCTGAGGCTAAGTTGCTGTCCAAAATAGTTAACCACAAGGTGGCAGAAAGGCTCCTTTGCCTCCTGCGCTTGACAGCCTGGAAATGTTTACCGTTTTTAGAATGAGTTTGGGACAAACTGAAATAACAGATAACGACAAGGAAATTGTTTTACTCATGCAGAACATGCCTTATGATGCTGGCATGGTTGTGTACAGTCTGCAGGTCTCCTGTGTTACAGATGGAGAAATACTGGGACATGGATCCTCTCCATGCTCCAGCAGCATTTGATAGGATTAATTTGGGGAATCAGCTCTGATCTTAGGTGGCTGCCTGCATGCTGTGTGTGAAGGGCCACTGCTGCGTTTTGGGGGGGACTCTGCTCTTTTAGCCTTACTCCTGTCACTACATGTTTTGAGGTGGAAGGAAGATCTGTTCCAGATGTCCTTGGATTCTAACGGACTGCCTTGATCTTTATTCTCTGTAGCTGAGGTAGAAGCTCCTGAAGTCCAGGACAGGCTTGTGTACTGTTACCCAGTGCGACTGGCCATCCCCTCCCCTCCACTCCCCAGTGTGGAAATGCACATGGAAAACAATGTGGCGTGTGTGCGGTACAAGGGGGAAATGGTGAAAGTGAGCCGCAACTACTTCAGCAAGCTGGTAAGGGCTGGCTGCAGGCCTGCGTGACTGTCGTTGCAAAGCGCTCTTTGGTGAGAGCTTCCGTTTCTCCTTTTGCTCTGAGTGGAGGGACTGTGCAGCAGGGCAGAGCACTGACCTGGGGGGGGCTGCCTGATACTGCCCGAGTGGTAGCAGGCACGAGCACAGCTTCCTTCTCCTTAGTCAGGGGCAGCCTTCTGCTGGGAGCACTTAAAAGGCGCTGTGTGTGTGCTCTGGGTGCGTGCTGTGTAGCAAGAACGGTTGTACTCACAAGAAGGCTGCCCTTGCTGAGAGGCCCTTGCTGATGTGTTGCATTCCTGCATGCTAGTAAATAGCTGGTGGTTCGTTCACGTGGTAAAAGCAGATGTGCTGAAAAACCTTCGTGCAGAGCCCCACCTGCTCCTCTGTACGTCACCGTCTCTCATGCCATGACGTGTCTGTGTGCTGCCTGTCCGACCTTTGTGGGTGCCGCTGGTTTTTAACGGCTGGGCTTTCTCTTCCAGTGGCTCCTCTATCGGTACAGTTGCATTGATGACTCTGGCTTTGAAAAGTTTCTGCCCAGGGTTTGGTGCCTTCTCCGTCGATACCAGGTACTGTCTCATCACAGTTGTGTGTCAAAAAGCCCTAGTAATAGTGGGGACTTGGCTGTCATTATTCTGGGAGGTCCACAACTCTGGGAGCCTGGTACAAAACGGCTCCCGTGGGGGCTGTTGTCTGCCCCCATTGTTTTGAGGTAGGAGTGTAGCCTGGGGAGCAGTTGTGATCTTGAGGGGAGACCTTGGTGGGGATGAAGATAAATCGTTACAAAAAACCTTCAGTAGTTCATGGCATCGCCGTGGGGGCTAACTGAAGGTTCGTGGGGAGTCTGTAAAAACTGACAGTTGCTTTGTGGGGCCTGAGTTAGTGAAAGTATCTAAAGAGCGTTCTTGGGTACATGCAGGGGACCTGCACGAATTTGAGAAAGGATGAGGAGGCCCTGCATACCTAGAGGAGTGGGTGCATGGACATGTGGCCCTTGGTCTGTGTTCAGTGAAGGGAACAGAAGGCACAGCAAGTGCAGGCAGGCACTTCTCACCGGGATTTGCTCTCCTCAGATGATGTTTGGTGTGGGTCTGTATGAAGGAACTGGCCTGCAGGGGGCACTGCCCGTGCACGTCTTTGAAGCCCTCCACAAGCTCTTTGGAGTGAGTTTTGAATGCTTTGCCTCGCCTCTGAATTGCTATTTTAAACAGTACTGTTCGGCCTTCTTGGATACAGACGGGTATTTTGGATCCAGGGGGTGAGTCTTACGTTCCAGTGCCCTTTGCCGCGTGTCTGTGTGGGTGCGTGTGCGGTGCGATGGCTCCGGACAGGGCTGACAGCTCTGGGAGCTTATGGCCGTAGCAGGCTGAGTGGTGCCTGTGCAGGAAGCTGTGTGCTCTGGGCCTGCTGAAAGGCAGCGAGTGGACCTAGATTGTCCGTGGGGCAGCCAGGAGTGTGCTGCTGGTCTGGTTGGAGGTGTCCGGTCCCCACACGGTGCACTTTGTGAGCCTGTCAGTGCTTGCCCTTATTCTGGTGAAAGGGAGAACTGAGCCCAAAGCAATCAGCTTGAATCAGCAGTCAGCACTCAGCAGCTGCAGCTGGAATATGTCCCCAGTGACAGTTCTGTTATTCACAAGTGGCAGGCCTCATGCTGCTGGGAATTCAGGCCTTCTGAGAGCATGAGTGTCCTTTCTGATGAAATGGCTGCTTGTTAAGGTATGAAAATTAGAATTCTAGCCTCTCTGACAGGGATCTTTGCCTTTTCCCTCTAGCCCGTGCCTGGATTTCTTCCCTATAAGTGGGTCTTTTGAGGCAAATCCTCCATTCTGCGAGGAGCTGATGGATGCCATGGTCTCTCACTTTGAGGTATGTTCGCTCACCCATGTTGTTCTGAACGGAGCTGTGCAGTCATCCTCTGCTCCCCACTGCTCTTGTACCCTCATAACAGGGCTGTTACTCGGAGGGCAGAGGATTGTGACTGCTGCTGCACTGCTCTGGAAGCAGAAATGTTTCTTGTAGAAGTCATTAGGCATTTCACTGCTTAACTGGGGTTTTGTTTTCTTGTTGGACTAGAAACTGCTGGAGAGTTCCAGTGAGCCCCTTTCCTTCATTGTCTTCATCCCTGAGTGGAGGGACCCTCCTACACCAGCCCTGACCCGCATGGAGCAGAGCAAGTTCAAGCGGCACCAGCTCATCCTGTCAGCCTTCGATCACGAGTACCGCAGCGGGTCTCAGCACGTCTGCAAAAAGTAGGCTTTCCTCTGGGGTCCTTCTGGGGATGCGTTTCTGATGAGCAGCCTCTTAGGAGAGCCGTGTGACAGAAACATCCTAGCCAAAGTGGAAATCAGTGCAAAGTAGGGAAGAGGCAAGGAAAAATGCAATGCGTAATCATCCTGGATTTTAAAGAGAGGAGTTCTGGAATCCAGAGTTTTGTGGATTTTTGCACACATTTAATGACTGCTGAGGTATTTCACTAAAAAACTCGTGAGTGAGGTATTCCTTCGGTCCAGCCTGAACGGTTCATCCCATCTGGTGCTGTGGTGATCGCCTGTGTCCCTCTACCAGCTCTCCACTCTGGTGAGCCACAGCTGAGAAGTCTTTCCTGGGCTCCCACATGCCGTAGTGCTTCGGTCATTCAGCACCGCTCTGAAGGAAGCAGAGGGAGCAGTCAGGATCTCGGCCCTCAGTGGGGCAAGTGGCCCTTGGTCTGCTGCTTAAGCAACAAGTTCAAGGCACGGCTGGTTTAAGCAACGAGTGCTTGAATGCCAAGTTTTCTGAAGCTGGTCAGGGTTGCTGTGAGATGCATTCTCTCACTGAGTACTTCAGGGACAGCAGTGTCCTGCTGCACCTGCTGGCCAGGGAGCTGCTTGGCTCAGTGCTTCTCTGAAACACAGCGAGCCTCTGCCTTCATTCAGTCTGCTTCCTCCTTTCTCATAACAGTGAAGGACAGGGGGAGGAAAAGTTGTCCTAAAAACGACACGCAGGAAGAGGAGAGGCAGGTGCCAGGAAAGGTGTTCCCCTTAGTTGTGTGCCTTCTTGGTGGGCCAGGGGGAGGTGCTGAGCGCCTCTTGTCTTTCCTCACAGGGAGGAGATGTACTACAAGGCCGTGCACAACACCGCCGTCCTCTTCCTGCAGAACAGCGCAGGCTTTGCCAAGTGGGAGCCCACGCCGGAGCGGCTGCAGGAGCTCGTTGCGGCCTACAAGCACTCGGGCCGCACCCTCAGCTCCTCGTCCTCGTCGTCCTCGTCCTCCTGCGACAAGGAGCGGGAGCTGGGCCGCGAGCAGAGCGGCAGCCGGGAGCCGAATGCCAACTGAGGTGCAGAGGTGAGAGGCAGCAGGGGAGGCGCCGGCGGCCCCGAGGAGGCTCGCCAGGGCAGGCGGAGAGACTGCTGGCTGCGCAGCAGCGGCCCGGGGGACTCTTGCCCGGCGGCTCCACGGCACCGCCTCGCCCTGCGAACTGCACGCTGCCCGCGCCCGGCAGCGCCACGGAGCCCCCGGCCGGGAGAGGAGCTGGGCTGCAGCCACGCCGCGGGGCGAGGGAGCCACGCGTGGGCGGCAGGACGAGCGCCCGAGCACGGAGGGAAGCGAGGAAGGAAGGGGCAGCAGGAGGCCGGCCGGAGGGACGGCCGGAGGGCCGGGCGTGCCACGGAGGGGCCCCGGCGCCGGCAGGAGGAGCGCGGGCAGAGCGCGGGGGCTCCCGCGGCCGGACTGGCCCCAGCGCAGCTCCGTGTCCATAGTGTAAATAGTGTGCGTGGCGCCCGTGCTCCTGGCAGGGCTGCTCCCATCGCCCCCGCGTTTCTTTTCCACGTGTGTGAGTCCCGTGTTCGCCGCCGCTGTGTTACCGTGTAGGAGAGGAGCGCAGGAGAGGAGTTCTTTGGTGTGTAAAGACGTCTTTGCAGCTGTTTTGTAGTCGTTGTGGTTTTTATGCGGAGCCTCCGGGCTGTATTTAACCTCCTTGGGTTTTGTTTTGTAAGGATTAATTTAACACCGCTAACCATTTTATTACTTTTATCGAGAAGAGCAAAGTCTATTTTTGATTTCCGTTTCCCAGTCCTTAGGAACAGTGAGAGCCAGCATGCAGCCCTGCCCCGTGCCCGGGCCTCTCCAGGGCCTGCGCTCCCCTCTCCCGTCTCCCCTCCCCAGCCAGGCCCCCCCAGCCCCACCTGGCCCCCCCAGAGCTGCCCCCAGCTGCCATGGGGCAGGGCCCCGGGCAGCCCCATGGGGTGAGGCTGTCGCAGTGCACAACGGGGCTGTGCTCACTGCTCCCTCCCGCATCCCCTGTGCGCGGTGGTTCCCGTGTGCCCGTTCTGTGGCACAGTGCATCCGCCCCCACAGCCCCCACCTGAGCCCAGCCCCTCGGTGGTCCCAGGACACCTGGAATGGGGGAGGAAGGCACTGAAGTGCTGGGAGGTGCCAGGGCTCTTCCTCCCCCAGGGGCTGGGGTGCAGGAGGCTCCAGGGGGGCTGTGTGGGGCAGAGGGGCCGGGGCAGGGTCCGAGCTGCACGAACATTCATTGGCAACACACACCCTGCTGCAGCCTGACCCCAGGGGCAGGAGGGACCGAGCCCCCCCTACTCCTGCCCTGGCAGCGCCGCAGTTCCCCCACTCTCTCCAGGGCCAGACGCCACCATTGCCGCCACGCTCCAGATTTTGGGTTTCTGCAGCCGCTCGCCCTGCCCAGGGCCCGGCCCCGCAGTGGGGCTGCTCCCACCTCCATCCTGCGCGGGGCCGGGGCTGGAGCCGGGGGGGGTCCCTCTCAGAGCCCCTTCGCCCTCGCTGTCCTCGCCGTCGGAGGTGCTGCGCGCTGCCCAGCCCGCCTTGTTCTCCTTCTTGAGGCGCCGCCGGGCGTTGGCGAACCAGGTGGAGACCTGCGTGAGGCTCATCCGGCTCACCATGGCCAGCATCACCTTCTCGCCCTTGCTGGGGTAGGGGTTCCGGGGGTGCTGGGCCAGCCAGGCCTTCAGCGCCCCGGTGCTCTCCCGCGCCGTGGTCGCCTTCACGCGCCCTGGCTCCAGGGGCAGGGGCTGCCGGCAGCAGGGGGGGCAGAGCCCGGTGCCGGGCAGCAGCCCCGGGGGCACGGCGCAGGCCGGTGGGACCTGGGGGCACGGAGGTGTTGTGGCAGGGGGAGGCACAGAGGTGGGGGTCTCGGGGTGGAGGTTTTGGCCCTTCCCGCTCAGGCTGGGGCAGGTCCCGTGCATCCCTCCCCACCCTCCCCTGCCCAGCACTGCACACCCCAAGGTGCCGGGGGCAGCAGGGTGCGGGGCTGCGGCACCAGCAGGGCGGTGGGGCCCAGCCTCAGCCCCCCACCGGGGAGGGGTCCCCCGGGAGCTGCCGGGCATCACTTACCGAGGGCGCCAAGAGGCTCAGGGGGGGCGGCAGCAGGCTGTAGCCGGCCAGCAGGGGGTAGGGGCAGGGCAGCAGGGCTGGTGGGGGTCCCTGCAGGGCTCCCCACGGCCCCCTGCAGCCCCCCGGCTCTTGGCCTGGGCTCCCCTGTCCCTGAGGAGCTGCCATGCTGCGGGAGCAGAGCCGGGAGCTGCTGCGGGGCGTTTTATATCGGTCTGGGGGCTGCGGTGACGGACAGCTGATTAGGGGGCATTAGCGCCCTGGCAGCGCCCGTTAAAGCGGCAGCACGGATCTGGGGCAGTGGCTGGTGCCCCCCTCACCCCCCGCACCAACTCCCATGGGGCAGGGGCCGGCACGGCACAGCCGCGGTGTGCCCAGCACCCACAGCGGGACCCCCCCAGCCCTGTGCAGAGCCCCCACGAGCAGGGGCGCTGTGTGGGGCCGTGCTGCCCAGCCCCACGCGTGGCCACGGCCCCAAGGGAACGGCGCACACAGGGACAGCAGCAGGGACGCGGTGCACACGGAGCTTTACTGCAGAGCCAGGCAGCGCCCGGCCCCGTCTTCGATCCTGGGCCCCGAGCCCCCCACGGCACCGTGGGGCCGGGGCTGTGCTAGCGGGAGAACTTGCGGACGGCCCGGTAGGACGCGGGGGGCGCGAGGAGCTGCGCTGGGGCTCGCTCTTCCTCCGGCTGCGCGAGGTCCTCGGCCGAGCCCCAGCGGCGCCGCGCGGCCCCGCCGGCCTTGGGCAGCAGCAGGCAGCCCAGCCGCCGGTTCCAGCCGCGCTCACCCCGGCCCAAGGGCAGCTCTGGGGCCAAGCCCATCAGCATCTGCAGGATTCCCCCCCCCCTCACCACACCCCCCCGCCCCAGTGCCCCAAACCCCCTGCCTGTGCCCCCACCGCGACCCCAAACACCCCAGCCCGTGTTCCCCCCATGCCCCCCAGCACCCCCACCTGTGTGCCCCCCATGTTCCCAAACACCTCCCCCTGTCCCCCCCAACCGCAGACCCCCCTGCCCCATGGCCCCCATGCCCCCATCTCATCCCACCCCGGGGGGCTCCCCACCAGCCGGGCGGGCTCTTACGGGGGGTGTCAGGGTCCCCGTCCAGTGTCCCCACGGAGCCCAGGTAGTGCCCGGCCAGGTGCCCGCTGTAGTCCCTCAGGTTCTGCTTGGCCCCTGCGGGATTGATGCCCTGAGACACCACTCAGGCCAGTCCCAGAGGGACCCGGGCTGTGGTGACACCGTGACCCTGCTGGGACCTGGGGGGGGCCGAGAGCCCCGGGCGTGGGCTGGGGGCTCAGGCAGGGCGCTCACCAAAGCGCTCGACGAGCAGCTCCACGATCTGGCGATGGCCGTGGAGCGCGGCGATGTGCAGGGGGGTGTAACCCTGGGGGACACCAGGCCCCGGGGGGGGGCACGGGGCTGTGCCGTGGCCCCCCAGCACCGCCTGCTCCCAGGAGGAGAGACCAAAGCCCCCCCACCCCACACCCTCCTGGGGACCTCCTGCTGCTGCCACCACCCTGCTGGGGACACCCATTCCCACTGCCCTGGGGACACCCCAGCCCCTTCCCACCCCCCGCGCCCCTGTCCTGGCCAGTCCTGCAGCGCGTCCGTCCGTCCAGCCGAGCATACTCACGCCCTGCCCGGGGAGAGAGCAGCTGTGGGGGCAGAGCCGGGCACCACGCGTGAAGTGCTCGGCACCCCCGGGCCCAGCAGCGACCACCAGCCGGGGCCTGTACTCACGTGCTGGATGCGGCACGGCCAGGGCAGGGGAGGAGAGGCACCGTCAGCACCGTCAGCACCCTCTGCATGGGGGTGCCCCCGCCCCGGGGCCAGCCCCAGCCCGGGACCCCTCGCACCCCACTCACCGCTCGCATGTTGATGTCGGCCCCAGCACCCACGAGCATCGTGGCCATGTCCTCCTTGCCGTGCTTCGCTGCCCAGTGCAGTGCGGTCTGCGGGGCGGGCGGGGGGTGCAGGGCCAGGGGCAGCAGCATGGGGGACATGGGATGGGTGAGGGGGGGCTCCCCCATCCGCCCCCAGCCTGCTCAGCCCCACCAGGGCCAGCTCGGGGGCAGCGCGAGGCCAGGAAGGACTGGGACTTACAAACTGCGTGGGGCAGGGCGGCAGCCACAGTGGAGGGGCCAGCGGTGGGCAGAGGGACATCGGCTGCAGCCACTGAAGGAAACGCACCCTCCCCGCCCGGCCCCATGCCCCCCCCCAGGTCCCTGGCTCCCCCAGTGCCCTGTCCCCTCCCCACAGCCCCTGTCCTCCCATACCCCTTCCCTCATGGACTCTGCCCTCTCCCCACCACGCTGCCAGCCCCACAGCCCCTGTCACCCCTCCTGGCCCCTTAGCACCCCGGCCCCCAACCCCTCCTGACCCCTCCCTCCCCACAGCATCCCCATCCCACACCCCCATCCCTCCCACAGCCCCATTCCCTCCATGGCCCCACGTGCCTCCAGACCCCGTCCTCCTGCCCGTGACCTTGTCCCACCACCCCGGCCCCTCCTGCATCTCCCCCATGCCCGCAGCAGCCCCGAGCCCCCACTCACCCCCTGGGCACCACGGTGGCAGCGGCGCAGCACAGCGGGTGGGAGAGGCAGGGGTCAGTGCCGGGGGGCAGCGGGGGGCGGGGGGGGGCAGGATGGGGTGCGGTGATGCCGTGCAGCACAACCTGCCCCATCCTGGGGCAGCTGCGGTGCCCCCAGGTGCCCATCACCCCCCAACCCTGGGGTCGGGAGCTGGGGGCTCCTGGGCCGCGCTGGAGCCCCGCACTCACCGAGGTGAAGTCCTGCAGGATGGGGGGGCAGGAGGCCAGGTCAGCCCCGCAGCCCCAGCCCCGCAGCCCAGCTCAGCCCGGCCCTGTGCCACACTCACCTTCTTGGTGGCCAGGGCAGGCTCCTGCTGCAGGAGGTGGCTCAGGACGGGCAGGTCCCCGCCGGCTGCTCCCTGCAGCCATTCCTTCTCCACCGGGTCCAGCTGCAGGACACCTTCAGCACGGCTCCCCGGGGCCCCCGGCGAGCCCCAGGCCCAGCCCAGCACTCACGGCCACGGGGCTGGCGCCCACGCTGCTGCTCCCATCCTCGGATGCCTCCCGGGTGTCCTGCTCGCCGTCCTCCTCGCCCGGCTCCGGCTGTGGGTCAGGGCAGTGCCAGCCCGCGGGGCTCTGGCCCAGGCACAGCAGGGGCTCGGTGAGGGGCTGTGCCCGCGTGGGCGTCCCCCAGCCCCAGCGTGGCCGTGGGAGCGGGGGGAGCCCCAGAGACAGCCCCAGGGACAGCCCGGCCACAGCCCTCACAGCCCTGCCCCAGCCCGTGGGGTGCCTGCAGCCCTGCTCCCCCTGCTCACCGCCGCGCTGAAGTCCGTCACCAGGATCTGGGGGGGCACAGCCCCGAGGGCCTCAGCCCCCGCTGGGGAGCCCTGGCACAGAGCCACCGTGTCCGGCGCTGCCACGCTCGGGGGCCGCCCAACCTCAGCGCCGTGTCCCCGGCACTCGGCACGGCTCGGCCTGCGGGGCCGGGCACAGGGTCAGCAGCGAGCAGGGGGCAGCGCAGCCCCAGCCCCGCTGCCCTGGGGCCGCCCTGCGCCCCGCTCCGTCACCCTGCAGCCATCGCCCTGCTCCCTGCTGGGCCCGGGGCCCTCGCTCGGTGCTGGCCGCCCTCACTGCGCTCCCAGCCCCGAGTTAGGAAATGGTTAACGCCGCCTCGGGCCTTGTGCAAGAGGCAACCGCTGGCAGGAGGCCGCAGCTGGAATCCTGTCGGGAGGGACGAGAAAAGGGAAGGGGAAGGGGAAGGGGAAGGGGCCCTGCCGCTGCCCCAGGACCCTTTGTCTGGTTGGGACCCGCAGGCTCCGGGGCCGGGGGGCGGGGGGGGACAGCAGCACAGGTCCCTGGAGCCCCCCGAGCCGCCCGACTCCTGCTCCGCGCCACCCGCCCAGACGGATTATCCCACAGGTTGTATCCGTCGTTAAATACCGACTAATAACGCTCTCAGGATATTAAATATGTAACAAACCCGCTTAGCGCTGGCTGGGGACGGGAAGGAGAAGGTCACTGGGGCTAATGAGCCCCGCAGCACCCCCGGGCTCCCCGCGGGCCTGCGGTGACAGCGGGAGCCACGGGGCCGAGGTGCCCCGAGCCAGTGCCCACCCCTGGCCCCGAGCCCCCACTGCACCCCGTGGCTGAGCCCACCCAGCACCCGCAGCCCCCACGAGCAGGGCCCTGGCGCCCTGGCCTCGTCTGCCCCAGCCCCATCCCCACCTCGGGCTGTGCCCCGTGCTCTCCGGCTGCCCCAGGCACGGCCGCCAGGACGCCTGCGCCGCCGGGAGGGGACAGCGGGGCCGGACAGCCGGGGTGCACGGGGAGCCCGCCGGGCCCCACGCTGCCCCCACAGCCCCGTAACCTTGTCCCCACGGGACTCCGCCAGCCCTGATCAGCACAGCGGCGCTGCGGATCCGCTTTATTAGATAATGGGGCTGTAATCTAGGAAAGCGCCTGTGGATTGCTGCGGTGTTAACCCTGCGCGGCACAGCTGGACGGGGAGGGCTGTGGCTGCCCCCAGGCACAGCTGGCGGGCATGGCCAGGTCTGAACTGAGCAACAGCGCTCACAGGGACGGCCGCAGGGGGATGTGAGCACAGCTGGACACTGCCCGGCTGGGACAGGGCAGGGCCGTGGCAGGGCACTGCCAGCCCATGGGCTGCTGGCCACCAGGAGCCTGGCTGCACAGCTTGGCAGGAGGGACAGCACGCAGTACTGGGGGACGGGGACAGGGGATGAGCAGGGAGCAGCGCCGCTGGCAGGGGCAGCAGAGCCCAGGCACTGCAGGGGCTGGGTGTAGTGGGAGCCCTGGTGCTGGGCCAGCGGCCCCCTTCACAGCCCAGCTCTGCTGTCCCTTGCACAGCGGGCACAGGGCTCAGGCAGTGCAGCTCCTGCTGAAGTTGGGTGGTTCCCGGCCTTTTTCCCCTCTGCAGATAATCAGTTTAATGCAAAAGCATAGAACTAAAACTCTGAGATTAGCTGTTATAATCACATGTAAATACTTCCAGACAATCCGCTCAGGGAGGGGCAGCGTTTGTAGTTTGGGACAGAGTTACACGGGATTTAGGCTGTTTACCACTCGATTAATTTCATGACTCCGGCCCCGAGCCCACCCTGGTACCAGCTGCCCAGCTCACTTCCCAGGAGTCAAGGTCACTGCGGTGGGGAGAAGCGATAGCACAGGGCTGCGTCAGGCAGGACCTGCCCCCAGAGCAGCACCAAGGCTGCTGCCTCCCCCCGGCCAAGGCAGGCTCAGACCCCAAGGCAGCACAGACACAGGTTCCAATCCCTTTTTATTCATAACATATTCAAAACTCAAGAACATCAGAATCGAA